GCAGGTTCGATGATGAGATTCGATCCCGCCACCCGCTTTGTATTGCACCGAGACATCTGTGACTTAGATACGAAATATGATTAAGTAATAAGTTACTGGAAATCATACACAGTTTATTGAAAGCCGTTGTTTATAAACAGCTCGAAATGTCCTAATTCACATGTTTAATTACTATGATTTCGTTAACAAATATGTTTTAGGACAGTTCACCAATAGTTCGGTATGTGCAGTTTTCAAATACATGACTTTGATAAAGGAACATCTATACGAAAATGATCACGTGACAACAGGCACCCAACTAAGTACGCATATTTATAAAATACTACCGGGTTAACAACAACAACAACAACAAAAAACGATGTATGTATGTTTACCGTCTAGAGCAAAAGGTGTGCAATTGTATAATATGTGAATATAAAATTAGATATTCACCTCTGTTGTATAATATGTGAATATAAAATTAGATATTCACCTCTGTGTGAGAAATGTATAAAGACCAAATATGGATCACAGTCTTTTGCTACAACATTCTAAGGCTCTTTCTAAAGCACTGGTTTATGTACATTGTTTATAAACTGGGTGTTACACGTATGTTCGATCCTCTCTCTCCCAGAAATATTCAGGTTTCCAGTACGCAGCAGACGCTGATCAGCAGAATGGTTGTTGCTAAGGCGCGGGTTCTCGTCCTTGAAAGCAGTCTGTGATCGTTCCCAAGTGGGAAATAAGACGAATGTTAACAACATTAATATCACTTAATAATCACGTGTGCCTATCAAAAAGCTTTCATCCGACTGGGCGTGGTGTGAACCTGTAAGGTGAATTTAGTTTATTTAGGAAAGAACTAGGATTACATATACACAACTAATGATTAGAGTTAAGTTTGTAGCTCCTTAAAAGCGCTCTTCTATATCTTAAATTTGGTTTGAAGAAATTTGCACCGGATTTGAAAAATCGATTATAGACCCTTTTCACTGCCGCCCTTGACATCAAAATGTAATTTCTTGTTACAGTTCATGTGGTTTGTTTACTAAAGTCTAACAAATTAAACGTTGTCGCCTACTTAAGTCAGTCATTCTTAAACCAAGCTAAATATTAAAATTATAATAAATATAACTTGTAATATATTCAATTTTTTTTTTTGTTCGAAGACAATTTTCTTTCCACCAATAAACAAAACAAAGAAAACTAGTGGTACAAAATAACATTTAGAAGTATGGACTATACACAGTTTAAAAGGCAGTATTCGACATAATACTTATTTGAACAAAATACTATTGTGAACCAAGGGCGACGGAGACGTAACAATATTAATTACAATCGAATGATATAAAGGCATTATGTATAGCTTAAATGTCCAGATTTCACTTTTTTATTGTTTTGAGTTTGAAAAAATAAAATAAAATTGCATTCAAGATGAATAGTCTTAATTTAGGAATAAGCGTTGTTTATTAAAATAGTTTTTATTGGTACCGCTCTCCACCCAAAAAAGAAGCTCAAAAACATACTAGCTCATATTAGGCTTTCTTATGATGTTCAGCTTAGAAATTTGGTTTGTTTTCGAGCGCACAGGCCTTTATCTTAACGAACTTGGCACTAGTACGAATTAAAAAACAAGAGAAAATATCAAAAATAAAAACACACGAAATAAACTAACTTTTACGTCATATTTTATTTAAAATAAATATTTCCTATTACTTTCTGAAATTTTTCATTATAAATAAACAATTATTTTCAGATTTCAGAAGTTGGTTTAGATGGTAATAAGTAAAACAGTATGGGACTACACAGTATATTGCAACAATATTTTTGTTGTTGTTGTTGGTATGCTGTTGCAAATTGTAGCACAGGTTAAGGCATTCCTGACTGGAGGACGTCTGTAAGTGAATGTTTTACCAATTTGTTAATTGATTTTTCCGTAACTTCGTTCCGACGAAATTTTAACGACACAAGTCTTTACTTAATAAAACTGGTTTATTCTTTCCGAATATAACTTTACCGATACACACAACTTCAACAATCGCGCTAAACAAACGAATGTCAATAATACTTCTGACTGCAGTTCAATTACTCACTATCTGCACACACATTACCTTCCCCTCTTTTATATACCAGCCTACCCTTTATCTAGTAAGAAGTAGAACATTCGCCAAAGTAAAGGATCACATGATCTCGATGACGCAACACTTGTCTCTAACTTTTAATACATTGTGTATCATATCTAGATATTGGTAAAACTCACATTGGACTGTATATATTCATGTAGTTTTTT